CCACCTCCGCCTCCTCGCAGATCTCCAGCACCACCTTTGAAAGCGTGAGAAGGAGCTGGCCACCAAGGTGAGAAAAACGTGGGCTTAGTGGGCGTTCTTGTTGCTGCCTTCTTCCTTCTCTGCTCGGTCTTGTTCCTGTTGTGTTGTAGTGCCTGCGCCTTCTGACACACACCTTCAATACTGAATACAACCAGCTGGTGAACAGCATCAGTGACTGCAAGGTGAGAAATAATACAAAGAAATTAAAAAATAGCCTTTCTGTGTCACATCAGGGAGTTCCTATATTGACGTCTACCTCATCCTGCTGTTGTTTCACTTCAGCTTTCTCTCATCTCACCGATCGGACGTGATCCATCCGTGACGAGCTTCAGCAGTGCCACCCTCACCCCTTCCTCTACCTGCCCCTCTCTCTCGGACTCCCGCTGTGGCTCCATGGGCCAGAAGTAAACATATTTTTAGGAACATTGACCTCGATCTGCAAACGGTTATTGACAGGTTATCCATTTGATTCTAACTTGGTGTGATTTGTGTTAAAGGACCCCTGAGAACAGCTCACGTGCCTCCAGTCCCTCCTGCTCAGACTGTGAAAACTTCCCGATGGTTCCCACTCTGGAGACCTCCTACCTTGCGCGGGCTGCAAAGAACGAGTTCCTGAACTTGGTGCCTGATATTGAAGAAATGCGACCAGGGTGAGTAATGCCATATTAACCCAAATACTGTCACTATGACATGTGTCTCACAGACCAAATGTAAGTCGACACTCATGTTCTCTAGTTCAAGCAGAAATGATGTGGATCGATTCAAATTCCTGAGCCTGGATGATTTCAGCTGGAAACAAACCAACTCTGCTTCTTCCTCAGATAATTCAATTCAATTTTATTTATATAGCGCCAAATCACAACAAAAGTCGCCTCAAGGCGCTTCATAGATACAGAGAAAAACCCAACAATCATATGACCCCCTATGAGCAAGCACTTTGGCGACAGTGGGAAGGAAAAACTCCCTTTTAACAGGAAGAAACCTCCAGCAGAACCAGGCTCAGGGAGGGGCGGGACCATCTTCTGCGACCGGTTGGGGTGAGAGAAGGAAGATGGGATAAAGACATGCTGTGGAAGAGAGACAGAGGTTAATAACAGATATGATTCAATGCAGAGAGGTCTATTAATACATAGTGAGTGAGAAAGGAGACTGGAAAGGAAAAACTCAATGCATCATGGGAATCCCCGGCAGCCTACGTCTATTGCAGCATAACTAAGGGAGGATTCAGGGTCACCTGGTCCAGCCCTAACTATATGCTTTAGCAAAAAGGAAAGTTTTAAGCCTAATCTTAAAAGTAGAGATAGTGTCTGTCTCCTGAATCCAAACTGGAAGCTGGTTCCACAGAAGAGGGGCCTGAAAACTGAAGGCTCTCCCTCCCATTCTACTTTTAAATACTCTAGGAACAACAAGTAGGCCTGCAGAGCGAGAGCGAAGTGCTCTAATAGGGTGATATGGTACTACAAGGTCATTAAGATAAGATGGGGCCTGATTATTTAAGACCTTGTATGTGAGGAGCAGGATTTTGAATTCAATTCTGGATTTAACAGGAGAAATCTGCTCTCTCTTTCTAGTCCCTGTCAGGACTCTTGCTGCAGCATTTTGGATCAGCTGAAGGCTTTTCAGTGAGTTTTTTGGACATCCTGATAATAATGAATTACAGTCGTCCAGCCTGGAAGTAATAAATGGTAAATGCCCTGTATTTATATAGCGCTTTACTAGTCCCTAAGGACCCCAAAGCGCTTTACATATCCAGTCATCCACCCATTCACACACACATTCACACAATAAATGCATGAACTAGTTTTTCAGCGTCACTCTGAGACAGGATATTTCTAATTTTAGAGATGTTGCGCAAATGGAAGAACGCAGTCTTACATATTTGTTTAATATGTGCGTTGAAGGACATGTCCTGGTCAAAAATGACTCCAAGGTTCCTCACAGCGTTACTGGAGGCCAAGGTAATGCCATCCAGAGTAAGAATCTGGTTAGATACCATATTTCTAAACTTTTCAGGGACGAGTACAATAACCTCAGTTTGATCTGAATTAAGAAGCAGAAAGTTAGCGGCCATCCAGGTCTTTAAGTCTTTAAGACATTCCTGCAGTGTAACTCATTGGTGTGTGTTATCTGGCTTCATGGACAGATAGAGCTGGGTGTCATCTGCATAGCAGTGAAAATTTATGCTATGTCTTCTAATGATGCTGCCTAGGGGAAACATGTATAATGTAAACAGAATTGGTCCTAGCACTGAACCCTGTGGAACTCCATAATTAACCTCAGTGTGTGAAGAGGACTCTCCATTTACATGCACAAATTGGAGTCTATTAGATAGATATGTCACAAACCAAACTGTACACTGGTAAACTGTTACAATAAAAAAGACCGTAATTTTCTTTACTCTTCTTTATTTATGTAACTTTTGTTTTCACTGGCAATTTAGTATTAGGTTAGGACAAAAAACAAATTAGGAAGGTTAAAGACAGAACATTACTAGATTGTGGTTTTAATTAAAATGTAGCCTTTGACAATGCTGAACACATGAGAAGCTACTTTAAGGCATATCACCCAATTTGTAATATTGCTAAACATTTCTTAAGGCAGACGAGTCATGCTGGCTGGGTCAGTGTCATTTTTGTTGTAATTGATGTCTGGTTTGTTCTGTTCCCTAGTGATGGGTAGGGATGGGTACCAGTATCCGGTGTTCTGACATAATCCTTGAAATAGTAATAACACAGTATCCTCAGCAAAGATGAATTAAACAAGTTTTATTTTAATGGAAGTTTACTTCAAGTCTTCAGATTTTTACTGTCTTTTATTTGATTACTTTAAAGTATATGATTACATTAGAGTAATTAAATAAAGACAGTTTTGATGGAGCTCCTGAGCCAGCCCAAGCTCTCTATGAAGACGAGGAAAAACTCCCCTGGGGGGGCCAGACTGACGGGAAGAAACCTCGGGAAAGCCCATTCAAAGAGAGATCCCCTTTCCTGGGATGGCTGGGGGGGGGTTACAGGAATTCCAAAACACTGAAATTTAAAGTGGGCCAATTTAAAAAAAATTATTTCCTGAAAAAAAGAAAGGTAATTCATACATCACACATAAATGATAACGTCTGAATTGTGTGTGTTTGTGTGTGTGTGTGATAGGCTTATCTCAGCCAAGTGTGATGCTGTAGCTCCTCCAGCGTCGGCCGCGTCTCCGGGACTTTGGTTAAACACGCGTCCAAGAAATCCCGGCAGTCTGGAAAGAAAGGAAAGAGAAAAAACATGAAGATGATAGTTCCAGTGGTCCAAGCCATCAGTCAGTCTTGAAGTGTGACGTTTTCTTACTTTTGGACAGATGTCTTTTGAATTTCAGGCGCTTTTTGAGGAAGCTCGTGGTGTTAAAGTCCCCGGCATGAAGCGCTTCGTACAGAACCACTCCCATTTGCCATACCGTGGTGGGTCCACACCTGTAGCAACTGCGCCCGTACCACTCGGGAGGGGAGTAAATTTCTGTACCTAATAAACAGACACAATTGCAATTTCTTCTAAAACAAAAGGCGAAAATTGTGACATCTGTGAAGAGCAAGAGCAGAATATGTTACCATAGAAGACGCGGTACTGCGACTGCTCCTTAACAAAGCAGCTCAGTCCAAAGTCGATGATACGAACACGCGGTACATCTGAGCCGGTCTCAATTAGAATGTTCTCACTCTTGATGTCCCGGTGAAAGATGTGTTTATCCTCCAGGTGCTTCGCAGCATCAACCAGCTGCTTCAGAATGACCTGGAAATAGAGCAGGGCGATATGACCAAAAATATTTATCACGATATACATTTGAAAAGTTGTGATAACGATATAACTGACGATATAACTGACACTAGACAAAATACTTTACAACGCCACAACTTTATTAGTGCAAAAAACCCCATAAATGTATTTTCACTTAAACAAGCAGCTGTTTTTTTATGTGCATTAAAGTTATATAAAAATGTAACAGTGCAAATGCAAATTCCTCGCTGACAGTTTAACCGAAAGGCATTTCCAGTGGAAATTGGCCGACATATCCTCAGCATAACCATGTAAAATATCCACAAAGCTTAAAAAGAGGTTATACACACACAATACGGTAATATCACGTTGAGGTGCAGTACGTATCACTCCGCGAGGCGCCTGCCTACGATAGCCGTAATGCTCCGACAATCCATCGAGCGGTGCGGCTTTGTAGCTTAGCAAAGTCGCCGTGTACATAAAATCGTTTTGAGGTCAGTAAACACAACCAGAATTCATACATAAGGCACACGGGATTATAAGGGGCACTGTCGAGTTTCAGAAAAATCAAAGGATTGATTTTAAGTGTGCCGTATTTTCCAAACAACACGGTAATAACGGTGGCCCGCTAGCATGCGCTACCAAAAATCGTGCTTTGTTGTGTATCTGACGGACGAAAGCTAAACCAGTTCCACACCACTAAAGTTGCAGCATTTTTACAAACCAGTTCTGGTTCATCCGTTTCATTCAACGATCCACTTTTGCTCTTCTCTTTCTGCGTCACCGCCATCTGCGTATGTAAACATAGGCACTGCGCATGCGCGTTTTACCTATTCTAGCGCGATATTTCATTTTCCTATCGTTGCCCAAAATTACACCGGTATTACCGTGAATGGTATGATATAGCCCAGCCCTACCTGGAAACGATGAAAAAGACAATAATCAATCAATGGGTTAATGTTTCTCTAATACTCTGTGCTTTGATTGAATGATGTACAGTCTAAGACTCTTCTAAGGCAAGTCAACTTGCCTTGGCCTTGTCCTCTGGCAAAAATCCTCCATTTTCTTCTATGTATTTATCCAGGTCCACAGCGGGGACAGGTCTCTCCATCACCAGGATCAGCTCTCTGCCAAAGTCAAACCACTCCAACAGAGACACTGGGGCTGATGTTTCCACTGATCCATCTGCTTCAGCTGCAAGCTTCAGCATGATGGCAACTTCCACTGACACATTCTTCCCGTTATCATCCTGAAATATTTCAACAAAGTGGATGATGAGGCACAGACGTTCCACAGGTGAACGCTGCATGCAATCCACTAATGTAAAAACAATTCAAGTCTTGCACATTTACCTTCACTTTGCAGTACACTTTCCCCTTTGGGATGTGTTTGATGGCCACCTAAAAGACACAGGGCATTGATGAGCATTTCCTCAGTATGACATCATTAAAGGTGTAAAACAGCATACATCTCAGCTTACGATATTATCCCTTATCTGCATTACTGCCTGTCTTACTACCACCATCTGAACACTTACTGGTAAATGATCCTTTATGCGGTAGCCAGCAAACACTGCTCCACAGCCTCCTTCTCCAAGCCGGTGCTCCTCCACGTATCTTGCTTGGAAGTCACCTAAACAGACAAACACAAATTGGGTTTTACTACAGCTGTCACACAAATTACTCTCTGCTGTACCCTAAATGTTCATTTTGCTCTTCACCTGAATATAAAAGCTAAGCTGCTTGCTACTTACGTTTCTGTTCAGCCACTGACTTTTTGGCAACGGTTTTGGTTTTGTCCTGGTCCACGTTCTTTTTCTTAGGTGGGTCCCTGGTGTCTCCCGCAGCTTTCCTTTTGCCAGCCTTTTTGTTTTTACTGCAGCTCTCTGAAATCTCTATGCTGCAGTCTGCAGATGTGGAAAACACCAAAAGCACATCAGCTTATTAGATAATAGACACAAATATCTCCCAAACACTAATATCTTCAAACTAGCAACCAGATGTACACTTAATCTACCCCTCACTCAACTAATTAGCCTACCTTTACCAGTGTCCAACCAGGAAGATGCCTGCCCCTTGTCACCGCTCACATGCTCAAGAAGTTTACGCTTTTTTGCTGTATTGGTTGTCCCCGCTTCATCTTGTTGGACCTTTCGCTTGACTCCCCCGACCACATGAGCATCTGAGCTGGTGGAAGGACCAGCCTGCTCAGTGACCCTCCTTCTTTTTATGGGGGTCGTTTTTTCAGGACTGGCCTTTCTTTTAGCCATCCTGCTCTTACAATCTATAAACAACAACAACACATTAGTGAAAAAGAGCGCTCGACATCAGGACTAGAAGGATTTTGATGTCATTGAATTTTAAATTAGTATTGCTTACAATATAATAACAAGTTTATCCTTTTGATAAAAAACACACCAACACCATACTAGGTCTACTAAGTCTAGATACTGATGACACTTGTTGCTCTGTTTTCACTGCTCAGTCCAAGAATAAACTTGTCACATTATTTTACCAAAAGACAAAGTGCCCCAGTAACCTTTCTTTGATTAGACATGTTGCACTCAGGTTAGTTTCAATCAAAACCAGGATTTAAATCCTCTAAAAATGAATCATTTTATACACAGAGCCTCAACATTGTTAGAAATGTACATTCTGTTATTTAGGGGATTTTATTTTTTACTTACTTTGATCTCCTGGATCTTTCTTATCTGCCTCAGTCGTAACTTTTCTTGTTTCCTTTTTCATCTTAATTTTTAAAATAGAAAATGTCACCTTAATGAGTGAATAGTCCTTCAAATGTCTGGATGCTTGACTTTTCTAACTAAGCTGTATAAGTCAGTTCTGTAAGTGAGCTTTAAAAGTAAACTCCGGAGTCTATGGCAACACAACATTAGAACCTTGCCTTTTAGTGACATCACTAAAAGGCAGTGTCCCAAGTAGTTTAAAGAAAAACACTCTGGCATTTCATATAATTCAGTAATTTCACATTAAACTTTCTTTCATTATCCTTTCATTATTTGTTTAAAGACTTGATGTGTGGATGCTACTATGAAGACTTCTAGTTGAGCAAACACTAATAAACACTGACTAGTTTATCTGAGATAAAATATAACACTTTTTTATTAAGTCAGTGTTAACTCTGTTTTTTTCTGTTAGGATCATTCAATAGTATCAGAAGAGAAAAGAAAAGTATGTTTTGTTTTGTTTTTTTTCTTCAAGATCTGTTCACATGTACTTTAGCAAGAGTGAGTACACAGCGTTAAAAAATGGTACTTAGTGTAGTGAGGAAGGCGAAAAGCAAAGAGGGCATATGAAGGTAATATTGAAGAAGGCGCAGTTTTGAAGTGGTGAAAGGCAAAGGCATGAGTGCAAGCGTAATAAAAGGTAATAGGAGAGATGTCGAGCAGGCGGAGGACTTGGCTGGAGCAGGAAAAGGCAAAAGGGGAAACGCGAGTGCACGTCTGAAACTTCTTCACTGTCAGTGAATCCTAATTCTTAAGACTAACTAAGAAGAATAAATCTATGTATGAATGTCGTTTTGAGCACATCTCCTCTTTCTACTGATCAATTCTTCCACCTAGTGGATAGATGATAGTATTGCAGCTTGTCTCGTCACCTGTTGTGTGTTTTGTGTGCTCCAGAACCTGCGTCCTGTTGGAGTACTGTACGTAAAACACACAAACACTGGAGTGAACACAGCTGCTGAACATCTCTATATTCATAACTTCTTCCTGTTATCTCATATCTGTCTCCCTTCATCTGTGTAGGAACGGTGTACAGATGTATGATTATGTCACTCCTGCTCCTCCACCTAACACCTCCACTCCAAACTAAGTTTGCTCGGCTGCTTTGGTTCACTGATCTGCAAGTATCTGTCATTTGTTTGCAGATGTCTGCAGGAATTATAGTAATGATCCATTAATGGTGCCTGATTTCATTCAGTTTTACAGCTTGTCTCGTGTTTTTGAACTGCTTCCCTCACAGTTGTACACAGTGCTAACATGTGCTCTTACTCTGTGTTTTATTCCTGAAGAAAAAGAAAGTGCCCAGCCCAGCAGGATGAAGATGGGCCATACGTCAAGAAGCCGCCAAATGCCTTCATGCTCTATCTCAAAGAGCAGAGGCCAAAGGTCATTGCTGAACTCAACATCCCTGGAAATGCAGCCGTAAATGCAGTGGTGGGACAGAGAGTAAGTGTGTAACTCTGCATACATTTATGCATCTGTTAATGTTGTCTGCTCATGTTTTTGCATGTGTCCCAGCTGTCCTGTAGTTATGTGTAGTAGCAGTGCTCACAGTGTGTTCTTATGATCTTCTGTCCACAGTGGAAGTCGCTTTCAAACGACCAGAAAGCCAGATATTTCAAGCAGGCTGAAACAGAAAGACAGAATCATGCCAAAGAGCATCCAGCCTGGTCGACCAAAGAAAACTATGTATGTCCAACAATAATTTCATTATAGACGATTGGACTGATTTCAATTGAATTAAACTGTTACTCCTGTTATTTCAACATCTGTCTTTGTGTAAATAAATGAAAAAAAACAAAAGATGCTTCTGTCATAAGTTACAGCAGGATGAAACAACCTTCATGTAGTTCTTGTTTTTAACACTGCAAACCTTCTTTAGTTCTTTTGTTTCCTTTCATATTCAGCACACATCTGTCAGTGTCCACTAACTGTCAGGGAAAAGCCAGATAAAAACACTGTGGGGTCTTTTGGGACACGTGCTCGTTGGGTTTACTCATAGATATCAGAAATGATCTGTTCTGTATTCAAAGGATACACGAAGGACGTTTGTATTAAATGCAATATAGCGACTGATCATATGCTGCTTTCTTTGGGGGCTTTTCACCAACATGTTACACAAATCCAGTTTCTAACTGAAAAGAAAATCCTTCACCATTTTCTAATCAAATTCCCTGGTTTCCCATGTCAGAGATGTCATGGCTGAAAGGATCATCGCATATTGAGCTCAAAGCTAAACTCTTGTGTAGGGCCTCTTTCCATGTTGTACCATTCATTTTAAAAAGTCCTGGTAACAAGAGACAGAGGTGACTTGATGTATTACAGTTACTTCCCAATTTACAGAAATGATGTGACTTCTGACATTTTCCTAGCAGGAAATGTGCTACTGTGGGACACTGAAAGAATAAACAGCAAGGCACGTTTTGTTTTAATAACTTTTCTTTACTTCATTTGTATGAACTAGGTTTACCTTACAAAATCTTATACTGTATATAATGTTTTATGTTTAATTCATGTCAATGTCAGCTCGTGTTTACTCGGGTGAGCAGTACCGGCCCACAAAGAGAATGCTCTTGGTGGGTTTATGTCGGATGAAGAAGATGAAGTGATGGTCGGCAACAAACTCAGCGGGAATCGTTATAGAGCGGACTTCCATGTCAACCCCAGTGGCAGCAGCAGCCTCAGTTCCTTCTTCATTTACATCCACCAAAGCCTTGTGGACAACTTTGGACACTATCAGGTCATTTGCTGGAGACATTCCTAGTAGATGAAGAGCCCAGAAATCAGTTGTGTTTTATTCTTTACCAGATGATGTTTTGCAGTTTTTGTGCTCTCAATATAACTGTATAATTGATTCAGTGTGTCTCATTGGTGCAATATTTCTCACCAGAGAAGTCTCTCTTGTAGATGTCAAAAGCGTTCTCCATTCCCATGTTGGTCAGGATTTTCTCCAAGTCATACTTCTCCTCCATCTTAAATCGAGGGAGCTTGACATCAACCTCGTTGGGGCTCATCATGTCTGGGCGAGTCCAGTCCACAAAGTTCTGATAGGTCAGCTCCTTCTCCAGCTGTGTGGATACAGTGTCACTAGCTTGTCTGATTGAAACTGGACATTAAAGTACTGGTAAGTGCATCTTACCTTTTCCAAGCCTGTGGTATCATCTTCTATGTCATTAGGCAGGAATATGAGCATGCTGAGGTCATTTCCTTTATACGGCATCTCAAGAATCTGTCCAGAAACATTGTTTTTATTTATTACTCCATCAAAGATGATCTGACTTCCTAATCTAGAAATTTAGGCTGATATTTGTAAAAGACAAGTTTTAGATCATGCTGGTGAAATCCTGTAATAAGCTGAAAGTGATGGATGTTACCTTGCAGTTGGCCTCAGGAATGGTCGCAAAAGGAAATTTACTTTTCTGCTGCATCATCTTCACCGGCTTAGTGTCGTTCTGAAAAATAGGGGAGACAAGAGAAATGTTTTTTGTGTTTAGTCTCAAAATGATCTCAAAAAGTTCTGTCATGGTTTTATTCCAGCCATTGAGTGGATTTGGATGTAGAGCACACGTCACAACACAATTTGTTCTTGTTAGCCGAAGTTTGTGATGTGCTGTTGTTTGAGATTTATTTGAGAACTTATTGGATATTACATGAATAATAAACTGCATTGCATAACTGCATAAAGTTGGAAAGTGATCGTCCTAAAAGCACGATTTTATCCCCTCAGAGCTCCAGGCTTTATGTTCTCATTCAGCAAAGTCCACAGCTCGTTTGTAGTATGACAGATCAAAGTATAACTGCACCATCCTATGCTGCCTTTCTGCACTGTTACCTTGTTCAGTCGAAACTGCGCATCAGCAGTCTTCTCCTCCTTAAACTGCGTGTTCCAGCTGCCCTTGAAGTAAATGGCATTCACGAGAACCAGCTTCGTCAGGCTACCCACTGCATCCTGGCTTAGCAAGTCCTTGATTTTATCTGGTAAAAAGAATTTATGAAAACTATTAACTATTACCAAAGATGCACTAGTTACTGTACAACATCTTCAGCTATAAAATCAGAAAACAGGGCAACAGCAAGAAGGTTTTTATTTTAAAAAAAGGGGGAAAAAGCTTTATGATCAGTATAACAGGGAACAAAAAACAAAAATTCAAGTGTAGGCTTGAACAAAATTCAAGCCTACGCTTGAAGCCACTGAGGCACAGCTGGCTGCCGGCAGAGCCGGCGGGCACGCCGGTGCAGCCCCCTCTAGCTTCTGCTCGGTGGCTACTGGGTGACGCCTCGTCTGGGGATCCTCAGCCCTTCCCATGAGGGTGGCACGGATGCCCCTCCGGTGGTCCTCCTTGGGCTCTCGCACTCTGGGGCCTCTGGATGTCTGGGGCCTGGATCTCCTCCATGCCTGCTTCATGGCCTGGGGGACGGGGCTATGGCTCGCTACATCCTCTTGCAGACCATTACATGTGGAAACCATTTGAATACAAGCGCGCTGATCCACACAGGTGTGCACACGGGTGTTCACTGCTCGTAGACTTAAATTACACCTTTCTTGGCTGCTACTTCAAAGCACATTGTGTGCTGTCTGTCCTGCGTGCTGCACAACAACATTGAATATTTAGTATTTACTGCTGTTTACACTTAGCTAGATTAATGCGATGGTGTTGTGTTTAGAAAGTTGCTTTGGTTTTTTTTGCTTGTTTTCTATTCTTTCTCTCTCAACAGGTGATCCAGGAGATTTTATTTATTTTCCCCCTTTCTCACTGTCCCTCTCCCCTTCTGTTTTTCTTTTCCTTCCTCTTTCTTTCTCCCTTTCCTGTCCCTCACTCATGTCTGTCCCGTCTGTAACAACTGAAAATGAAATAAAATAAATAATAAAAACAAAGGTCGATCAAATGGACCAATACGGCAATGCCGCGATGATCCATTTGGCAAAATAAATCCATTGGGTATCCTTGTTGGTCTTCAGACAAATATTCTGACGGCTAAAGAACCAAATGGGACAGGCAAAAAAAAAAAAGAAAGAAGCCACTGAGGTGGTTGTTAGCGGGGGTGACGCGATGCTTCTGGTATGCATGAATTAATTAAACAGTCCAATAACTCCAGCAGTACTTATCTTGTCCTTTTTGGTCTTTGTTCCAAACATTTTAAGATAAAAGCGCAGCGGTCACAAACGTTTTGCCTTCTTATGATTAACAACACACCTGACGCTGATTACGTGCGTCCACCTTAAATACCTTACATAAACCTACCATACAGGAACTTAAAAAGGTGGAATCCTCAGTGGTGCTTGGTGCCACACCCTCAGGGACTTTAATGTTATATAAAAACACTGACAGCTCAATATCTGCCTCAGTCACTCTCCCTGATCCAGCTGAGTCACCAATAGGAAAAATCTGCTTTTCACAGGAACTTGGTAACAGCAATAAGAGAATACGTAGTTTATTCCAAGAAGATATCGTCTCTCTCCCATATATAACATCTTATTGGAACCGATATGTTCCAGATATCAAGTGGAAGACAGTCTGGATGGTCCCCCATAAATATTTGATTGTAAATAAGGTGAAAGAAGTCTCATTTAAAATTCTACATAAATGTTATCCAGCCAGTCACTACATGGTCAAATGTAAAAGGGACATAAATACTAATTGTACTTTCTGTGGGGATCATCCAGAAACTGTGACGCATCTTTTTTGGTACTGTTCTTTTACACAGAGATTCTGGAAGGAATTTAGCAGGTTTGTTATTGTCCATATTTTAAGGGAGTTTTCTTTACGATGGGAAAATGTTTTATTCTGTTTGTTTAAGTTCCCCAAGAAGTATGATAAAATTTTTTTATGATGAATTTGTTCATACTTTTAGCTACATTTTTTATCCATAAATGTAAGTTTACTAACAAAACACCATATTTCTGTCATTATTTTAAGGATGTGGAAATGTACATACAATCAATATCAGACTCCACCAACACAAAGGCTCTCAAAACAATACATGTATGTGTATTCTTATAATTGTTACCTTTTTCTTTTACTCTTGGCTTTCTGTGTTCATGTTCTGTTGTTTTGTATACTTCATCTGTTCGTATGTTGTATACTCATTGTTTATTAAATAAAGTTTAAAAAAAAGAAACTTAAAAAGGTTACCTCTAGCGGCAACATGAGGTATCAACCCAAAAATGGCTCCTACAAAAATAATGGGATTAAGATTGTCTCATTTCCAGCAGGTGGCACCACAGTCCTATAACCCTCATAGAAAGTCCTTGTATCCTATTATTATAGATGGTAGATTTATAAATGGCCTGTATTTGTATCGCGCTTTTATAAAAACAATGAATGAATTTCCTGCTGCACTTAAGATAATATAAAGATATAGAATCAATAGCAGCCAATCCTAAATGGGCCTGAAAAATAAAAATATGTTAAAGACACAAGTGATCAAAGTAGAAGTACCCATCACATAATATAATAAGAATAGAAGAATTGGCCTGCTATTTACAGCAACATACTGCTGTGATGGTTTTATTAATAGCATGAAACCAAACAGTAAAACCCAGAGATAGTGCTGCTTAATACTGAATAGAAATTAGACTGGAAGAACTGGAAACAGAAAATAATGTGGACGGTGGACAATCCGGTAATAATGTCTCAACTGAACACAACACAACTGATCCCCAAGGATTTACAGTGGAGATCATTTAAAGTTACATTATGCTTACCTTGTGTCTGCTTCTCCACCCAGCTGTTGATGTGGACCCTGGCCTCCTCTGCATTTCCTTTGAAGTCCACAGACTCGAGCTCAGCGTTGTAATGCTTTTTGGTGCCTTTTAAAAATTCCTGGAATTGTGAAAATAAGTCACTCGAAACAGATTCAACAAACTACGGAGACTTCAATCAAGTTCAGTCACTGTGTTAAAACATTTTCAGTCCTTTGGATGCAGTTGAAGCTTGAACTAACCAGTCAGCCTTTGTCTAATAAAAGATTAAAGCAAATAGCTTGTTGGATGCCAATTTAAGTAGCCAGCATAGAAAATACACAGATTGTGGGTAAGCTGGTTTGTAACGTTTCGGTTCAGATGGCAGCAGTTTTTGCTGACAAATGTAAGTTTTAGTATTTCTAAGTATTAATAAATTACTGTTTTACTTCTTTATATATTTCTTTATACTATTTGCAAATATTTTAAAAGTTTAATCTGCTGTGATGACTGGAACACAAAGGAGAGAAATGGTGCCTTGTCTCTTGTTATGAACTGTAAATAGCTAAGTGCTTAGAGCAGCTGGTCCTAGCACACTTCAAATCCTGTCTCCCCCCCACCCTGGACCCCCACCAATTTGCATACCGCCAGAACAGGAGCACAGAGGATGCAGTCTCCATCGCACTGCACTCTGTCCTCTCACACCTGGACAACAACAACACCTACGCCAGAATGCTGTTTATAGACTTCAGTTCAGCATTCAATACAATTCCACCCCTCACAAACTCATCAGGAAACTGACAGACCTGGGCATCAGTTCCCTCATCTGCAAATGGTTACTGGACTTCCTGACCAACCGCCCCCAACATGTCCGGCTGGATAACCGCTGCTCATCTACCATCACAATGAACACCGGTGTACCACAAGGCTGTGTGATGAGCCCTTTCCTCTACTCCCTCTTCACCCACGACTGCAGACCTGCTGATGGTTCCAACACCATCATTAAGTTTGCAGATGACACCACGGTGATTGGCCTCATCAGTGACAACGATGAGGCCGCCTACAGGGAGGAGGTGGATCGTCTGGCTGAGTGGTGCACACAAACAACCTGCTGCTTAACACCGAGAAGACCAAGGAGCTCATCGTGGACTACAGGAGGAATGCTGACCCACATCCACCCATCCACATTAAGGGGACGGCTGTGGAGCGTGTGAGCAGCTTCAAGTTCCTGGGAGTCCACATCTCCGAGGATCTCACCTGGACGACCAACTGCTCCAAGCTGGTCAAGAAGGGCTCACCAGCGCCTCTTCTTCTTGAGGACTCTGAGGAAGAACCACCTGTCCTCAGACATCCTGGTGAACTTCTATCGCTCGCACCATCTGAGAGCATCCTGACCAACTGTATAACAGTCTGGTACGGGAACTGCTCTGCCTCGGACCGGAAGGCGTTGCAGAGGGTCGTGTGAAAACTGCCCAGCGGCATCGCCGGAGACCACTTCCTGCCATTAAAGGACATCTACAGGAAGCGGTGTCTGAAAAGGGCTGGGAAAATCATCAAAAGACCCCAGTCACCCATTCACATGGGACTCTTCACCCTCCCTGCCCTCTGGGAGGCGCCACAGGAGCCTCCGGGACTAAGACCACCAGGGTACCGGAACAGCTACTTCCCCACAGCTGTCAGACTCCTTAAGCTCTGCCTCCTGACATCTGACCCACGTTAAACTCATGCACTGAACATACCACACCCCACAATGGACAACTGTACCTCAAACACACAATAATAACATGGAGTGAACCCACCACTCACAACCACTAGCACTTTATATAGCCTCTGTAGAAAACTATCTACACCCTCACTTATCTTAACTGCACTACTGTATAGCTCTGTGTAAATAATCATTCTGTACATTCAATAATCTTTAATCCTACAACTGTTTACAACTTGCCATAGTTGCCGGGGATTCCATGATGCATTGAGTTTTTCCTTTCCAGTCTCCTTTCTCACTCAGTATGAGTTAATAGACGTCTCTGCATTGAATCATATCTGTTATTAACCTCTGTCTCTCTTCCACAGCAGGTCTTTTATCCTGTCTTCCCTTCTCTCACCCCAACGGTCACAGAAGATGGCCCCGGCCCTCCCTGAGCCTGGTTCTGCTGGAGTTTCTTCCTGTTAAAAGGGAGTTTTTACTTCCCACTGTCGCCAAAGTGCTTTGCTCATAAGGGGTCATATGATTGATTGGGTTTTATCTCTGTATCTATGAAGCGGCCTTGAGGTGACTTTTGTTGTGATTTGCGCTATATAAATAGAAATTGAATTTGATTGAATTGAATTATCTGAGGAAGAAGCAGAGTTGGTTTGTTTCCAGCTGAAATCATCCAGGCTCAGGAATTTGAATCGATCCACATCATTTCTGCTTGAACTAGAGAACATGAGTGTCGACTTACATTTGGTCTGTGAGACACATGTCATAGTGACAGTATTTGGGTTAATATGGCATTACTCACCCTGGTCGCATTTCTTCAATATCAGGCACCAAGTTCAGGAACTCGTTCTTTTGCAGCCCGCGCAAGGTAGGAGGTCTCCAGAGTGGGAACCATCGGGAAGTTTTCACAGTCTGAGCAGGAGGGACTGGGAGGCACGTGATCTGTTCTCAGGGGTCCTTTAACACAAATCACACCAAGTTAGAATCAAATAGATAACCTGTCAATAACCGTTTGCAGATCGAGGTCAATGTTCCTAAAAATATGTTTACTTCTGGCCCATGGAGCCACAGCGGGAGTCCGACAGAGAGGGGGAGGTAGAGGAAGGGGTGAGGGTGGCACTGCTGAAGCTCGTCACGGATGGATCACGTCCGATCGGTGAGATGAGAGAAAGCTGAAGTGAAACAACAGCAGGATGAGGTAGACGTCAATATAGGAACTCCCTGATGTGACACAGAAAGGCTATTTTTTTATTTCTTGTATTATTTCTCACCTTGCAGTCACTGATGCTGTTCACCAGCTGCTTGTATTCAGTATTGAAGGTGTGTGTCAGAAGGCGCAGGCACTACAACACAACAGGAACAAGACCGATCAGCTCCGAGCAGAGAAGGAAGAAGGCAGCAACAAGAACGCCCACTAAGCCCACGTTTTTCTCACCTTGGTGGCCAGCTCCTTCTCACGCTTTCAAGGTGGTGCTGGAGATCTGCGAGGAGACGGAGGTGGATGTGGACAGAGTGCCGGAGCTCACGCTGGGGGACAGAGACTCACTCAGGGACTTGGTGGTGGGAGCTGTTCCCACGGAGCCGCCTCTCCCAGAAGGTGACGGGTCTTTTCCACCTGGACGAAAGATGGGGGCGAATGTGAGGTGGGGAGAAGAGGGGAGGTTAGTCATGTAAAGTCTGTACTCTAAGAAAAAACTTTTTAGAATAGCACTTTGGTCTTTGAGCTGAAAAGTCATTTTTCCCTCAACGATATTAAACAGATTTATTTCTTTATGAATCTTTTAAGGCCCCACCTCCTGCAGCTGCTCCATCTTCTCCAGCTCCCACTGGTGCTCTAGGATGAGGCTATCTCCTCTGGGCCTCCAGCCGGCCAGGTTCTCCTCTCCACGCACATAAGCCACTGATGTGTCCAGGACCTTCTCTCCTCCTCTGCATCCCTGACTGGACTGAAAAAGAGTGAAAAAGCAGCTAAGTCCAAAAAAAGAAAACTTTGAAGAAACTCCAAAAAACCTGGAGAACTTTTGCTCAAAAAACAGTTTTGTTTTTTTTAAATTACAAGGCAATCTGACAAAATGTCATCAAATGAGACTCAAGACTTCTGCAGGTCTCTGCCATGACTCAATTTTTTTTTCTTAACGGCAGAAACAATTGTTCCTTTTTTACTTTGTTTCTATTTTCTCTTTTTTTTTTATCTGTTGAACAACAAACAACATTCATGCTGATTCACATAATATCCTGTCTCTAATCTCTGGGATTTCCTCGTAGCTCTTTGATGCAAAGAACATCCATCAAATGCTCCAGCTTGTGCTCAACATCATCGTGAACGGTGAAGGTACTCTGACGAGAAAATACTCAGTCGACCTTTTGGTTGATTTGTTAAAGAACCCCAAAATAGCTGATTACCTAACAAGGTATGCAGATAATTCACAGCTCTTTTCCTGAATAGCTGCTTTAAAACTCTGCTGAAAGCCTTTGTCCATTTCCAGGTATCCCCACTTCTCGGCATGTGTGTCTCAAGTGTTAGGACTGCTGCATTGGAAAGACCCAGACCCTGCAGCCAAGGTGAGAGACGACAAATATGATAACCCACACCAGCTGTGCTTAACTCTGTAAGTTCCCAGTATTCCCTGAAACCATCACGTGTGACACAGTTTACA